TTTCCTGCAGGCAGAATTTTACTTTAGTTTTCTATCTTTGGTGAGATAGAGTAGGGAGTGCTGGGTAAATGAGTTAAAAATCAGGCTATTTTTAATGCCTTCCCACCATTAACATCTATGACCAGCACCTTTGATCTTGCAGGCACACCTCTAATGATGGACCCAGAGAGCACTGGGCATGAACATATGTAAATAGGGGCACCTGTGGAGAAAAGGCTATCTGGGCAGCTTCTCAGAGGAGGTGGCTGTGAGGCTATAGACAGAGGGGGGAGGGGAAGGGAGTAGAGAGAGAAATACTGAGAGGAAGCTGGTCTGTTCTCTAACTCAGTGTTAAGGCCTGTAAAAATCTACTGAAGGCTCCAAAATTATTTTTTCATCTGTTAGAATTGACAATGAAGCTGCCTGGCCTGGGTTGGCTAGACAATAGGAAAGATGGGGATTGATGAGAGCCAGAGTCAACAGGGTATGCTGGGCATTACTGTGACTGAATCAGTTTTAAAAACTTTTGAATCACGGTCAATTTTCTTTAAAAAACTTAGTTTTAGAACTTATGGCCCACATACTGAAGAGTGTACATGCTATTAAAACAGTCTTGGCTTTGGCATGCATCAGAACAAAATTCTTTCATTGGCTATTTGCTGCTGAATAGCAATGTTAGGACCAACAAATGAAGTTTGCCTCCCCCCTTCCCTGTCTTCATGCTGTCCTCAAGAAATTCTTCGTTCATTGGGTTTATTCACAAATTTTATCTCGTATATGTTTATCTTTAATGACGGGAGCTTCAGTATTTATTTGGTACCTACTATGGACTCGACATGCAGGAAGGGCGAGGGGGTATGGGGCTGTAATGGGAAGGAAAAAGATGCAAGATCTTGTCCTTGAAGAATTAGCTCTACTGAACACCCCATTTCTATGCACATCGATCTGAGAAGCAGTGGCAAGAACTCAGGTATAACACCCCTGGTGGCAAGATACGAAATGGATACATTTTGCCAAGTATGGTAACGTATTTTTGGCAGATACGTGGGCAGTATAATTCTTCAGAGAAAGGAGAGGAAGCGTTGGCTGGCACAACCCCACAAAGCCTCCTGGAGAGAGTGGAGTCTGAATTGGCCCTGATGGCTAGAGGGCGCTCACCTGTGCATGGCTGGGGTGGGAAGGTCACACCTGGTGCAAAGCGCATGCGCCAACGATCAATAGCAGGAAAGAGCAGAACGCAAGCTCGGAGATGCCTGAACCATCGCCATCAAAAGGCACACTCACTGTTCTGGATTGATTTGTCTTTGTAGATAATACAGAGTCCAGCACAGTCACTGGATGCCTGAAAGGGATTGGCTTGCCTTCACTTGGCTGAATTTGGATGTGCTGTGGTGTGTTATTTGCAAAGGATGCAGACTCCTAAAGATTTTGAGTATAACCTCTCTAAGATATGAGGTGCAGGCATTTTGTGCGCACGGTTAAGTTATGTTGGCAGCTACGGCACCAATATGATTCTTCCACAAGGGGGGACAGGTCCAGGGGCCTGGTTACCCAGGCTTAGTTACACCAGGTACTTTTCAACTCAGGACACACAAACTTAGCTTCTGGAGACAGGTTAGGGCCTTTAGCCACAATTGCAGACTTTTGTGTTTATCGAACTTGATCCTTACCTCCTGGATTAACCCAAATGTCTGGAAGTAATTATATCCAGCTCTCCATTGCTCACAATTACAGGAATATGAGGGGAAGGAAAAAACAAGGCAAGTGTCTATTACTTATATATCAGTCACAGGTTTCTCATCTTAGTCATTAAGGCTTTAATATTAAAATGAGTTTGTATTTCCTAAACAGAGACGGACTGGTGACAAAGAGGTCTACTTTGGGTTAAGATAAGTAGATAATGATAGAGCTTTCAGAAATGTTTTCTGAGTCTGGAGCTTTACTTTCTACTTGCTTTTCACTTTGGTTTTATTCTTTCCCCCAAGCCTTCTTTGTGAGTCTGCTTGTGACTTACACAGACACACTTGTAGCAAAGACCCTGTTGTGTTGGTGAAAAGAGATCGAAGCCAGGAGTAGTTCTCTGCTTTCTATGACATGCTTGTTTTCACTTCCAGAAAAGCTGCGTTCAAGTGCACTTTCAGACCAGAGACAGATGAGAAGTGATAGGGAGGCAAGTAGGCTCAGCGGGTCTGAGAATAGCACAGTGGATCAGCCAGGGAGCGGGAATCTCTTCCCCACCTCAGAGCTGCCTCTGTCTGCTTCAAGCACTGCTCTACTGGGTCACAGCAGGAAAAAGGTTCTGGTGATGTTTCACTTGCTTCTTGGGCTTATGCCTTCTTTGTTCTTTCTTTCTTTCAACTACCCAGGACAAGCCTTAGGATGTGGAGTGATGTCTGGGGGCACCCCCACCCCTCACACTGCTCTGCACTGAGAACTGTTCTGTGTGTTATCTTTATACTTACTCATGCTTTATACTTACTTCAAGGAGTGACGGAGGGTTGCTTGCTGAAACTGACCCTTCAATGGCTTCATTCTCTTGTCCACAAAAGCAGTGCAAATAATTGCTGCCCTGTGCTTTCTGGCACTCTCCATGGAAAGGAAACAGAAGTGCCAAGTTCTGGCAGAGGTGGACCAGCTGGCTCTTCAAGCACAAAAGCATCAAGGTTTCCTTTTCTCCCCAATTATCACTCTTCCTGGTTCCCATTCGCAGTTGTACACAGCAGGGTTGGCTAACCTTCCTTTCCTCATTCTGGGAAAACATGGCTCGTTCCAGGGAAAAGGATAACCAGCAGGTTCCGAGGGGGCTGTGGAACCCACGGTTGGTCACAGGGCAGCCTGGGTAACTAGGTGCCTGGCACAAAGCGTCTCCAACTGCCCCCTCAAACAGCAGAGGGGGGTTAGGTGTTTTCACAGCATTGTACATGATTTTATAGAATTATCTCATCAGTTCTCAACATGGTTGTAGTGTATTTGTCCTTTTTTGCTAGGAGAAATTTAAGTCTCAGTGAAGCTAAGTCATTGGGCTGTCACATCCTTATAGCTGATAAAAAGGCAGAGCTAGGGTTTCAGTCAGGGTTCATTATGCTCTACAACCCCCTCAAGTTAAACAGCAGAAGTAGGTTTGCACACATTCAAGGTGGGGAGATAATGACTGAGGCAGCAGTCAAGTCCACAGGAGGAGGGCTGCTTAACCATGCAGCCACCCTGCCCCCTTGTGTTAAGCGGGGATTGTCAACCTCTTGACCAGTATAAAACAGGAAGGAAGGTTCTTCAATGGCTCCCTGTCCTGCAGCGGGGGAACAACCCCAGGTTCCACAGCATGCCATGCACCCCTGCACACTCTGCTCTTACCTGCAGCTCTCCAAGAGCCTTTAAGAACATTTTTTCAATGTTTTAATTGTAGTATATTTACCATGAATCATTTTTAAGTATACAGTTCAGTAGTGTTAAGCATATTCACATCATAAAACAGAGTTCCAGATCTATTCCCTCTTGCAAAACAAGTCTGCATCTGTTATGTAACGATTCCCCCCAGCCTCCAATTCCTCCACTGGCTCAGGTATTTCGGAGAAAAGGAATCGCCCTGTCTTTTTATGACTACTCTGTGTCTTTGTACACACTGCTCATTGTTCCTCTCTCTCTACACCTCCTCCATGCTTTCACTGGCTAATTCGTAATCCTTCCAGAGTCGATTCAGGTATTTCCACTTCCGGCTTTGATGGTCCCTCAATTTCAGTTAGAAGCCCTTCCTATGCATTTATAGCTCACAACTCACACCCAGTTGCAATTGTCTGTGTTCTAGGCCTGGCACTCAGCCCGGCTAAAGAGCTGCATGCTCAGTGACAGTGAGCTGGGAGCTTGAGAACCAGGGCTGCTGTAACATTTGGCTTTTAACAAGATCCCAGGTAAGTGACATGCACGCACACTGAACTTTGATCACCACTGTTCCTACTAAAGAAGGTTATCTGCAAATTATACCTGAGCCAAGCCTGGCCAGCTGCCGGCTGAACATCTAAAGTTTTTCTGGTTTATGGCTGGTTACTTGTGCAGCATCAACTGATATCACAGTGTGGTGGGGGGCTGGGGCGGGGGGGAGGCAGCTGAGGGGAGTTGCAACAGAAACCCCCTCATGACCATGAAGCCTGTTCTCTGGGCTTTTGCCAATTATTCTACTAGACTCCAGGCTTGCTTTTTTTTTTGCATAGAGCTGGGGTATAGGCCAGAAGGGGAGGAGGGGGTGATAATATTCACCATAGACAGAGTAGGGGGCATAACAGGGGCACTGACTGAAATACACTGCTGAGGGGAGCAGCAGGTGAGACAGGAGTTCTGCTGTGCACCACGTGGGCCAGCTCTTAGGCTGGGACTCCAACGCAGGGTGTGGCAGTGACAGCACTGTTTAGCCCATAGGCCACCAGGGGGCCCTAGACGCCAGGCTCTATAGAGGTGAAAACCTGGTCCTTTTTGTTAAGAAAAGCAATTAGCATGGTAACCACACCTAGGCTAGGGAGCAGAATGACAAGCTTCGTATCTAGGCCCTGCCATTTTTTTGCAAGTAACTTTTGGCATATCATCTCTCTGGTGTTCCCCACTATAAAATGGAGACATACAATAGAGTCCACTCCACTGGATTGATGTCTGGGTTAAATAAGAGTGTACGTGAAGTTCTAGAGGTGGCACCTCTGGTGTAACCCCTGGGCTAGTAGCAGGCATTTTTCGAGTACCCTGGGCATCCGCTGATGGTGGCAGAAAGACCTTGTAACAGAAATTATTATCAGCACCATTCTCTGCTTCTTCCTTGCTAACATCAGATAATTTTTTTTTAAAGATTTATTTATTTATTCATACAGAACTGGGGTACAGGCCAGAGATGTGGAGGGTGAGAGGATTCACCAGAGACCACAGAGTGGGGAGCAGAACAGGCAGATTGAGGAAGTACACTGCTGAGGGGCGCAGCGGGCGGGTCAGGAGGTCTGCCATGCCATGTGGTCGCCTCCGGGGCAGGCGGGAATGGAACTCATGCGGAAGTGGCTTAAGCTTCTCAGTGCTGTGCTTTAACCCGCTGCGCCACCAGGGAGGGCCCGGATTATTTTTTTTAGGTGTCAACCCTTCAAGATGGTGACCTCTCTGGGGGTAAAGACTGCAAGCCAGAAGCAACGCCATTCTGTGTCAGTGGATTGCCTTATAGGTGAGGCAGTTCTTAAGGGCTTCTGGGAAGTGTTTTTCTCCTTTTCAAAAGAAAACATGAAAGAGATAATCCTCCTTCCCACAGATACTATTTGGCATAAAGGTGATGGCCCCAAATGCAGTGACTCTGAAGGGAGGTATCCTGAGGCGAGAAGGAATGTGCAGAGCAGTTAAGAGTGAGGAACCACTGCCCCTCACTAGGCCAATGCTGTTGAACCCCAGTGTCTCTGGGACTTGCCTGCTCATGAGCTCATTTCACAGAGGAGTTATTTTCCTAGTCGTTTCATTACATTCACATCATCCTAATTATATACCCAGGGATGATATTTACACATTTCATTCCACCTGCCACCTAACAATTGGTGCTGGGTGCTAGGAAAGAGGTTGAGTGGTAGTGGGAAGTGTACAGACCAAGTAGGTGAAGGAAAAATCAAGGATGCTCTGGGTCGGGGCCAGTCTTGTTCTTCCAGGCCTCGCCCCATGCTCTCAGCCGGAAGCATGTTTTCCTGATACCCATGGCTCCCCCAAATGCCAGTTTCCCTTGTTGCCTGAACCTGCTACCCAAAAATGGCAGATCCTCCCAGAGCCAGATGGGTTCTGATTATTTCCTTGATGATATCTAGTATTTACCTTCCGGGCAGGAGGAGGGCCTGAAAGCAGCTTATATTTTGGGGACAGAGAGAAAAGAGTTGGGATCTCTTACATAGCATGAAATGTGAGGAAGTTTTCTTTGGGCTGGAAGTGCCAGAAGGTACCTTAGAATAGCCACTGGGATTTCATGGTGTCAGTTTATGTTCTAGTTTCGTGCCACATGAGCCAAAACTAGCAGCAGAGACTCAAAACAATATAGAGGTCTGTGCACATCTACTGAGGACCAGGCTCGGTACAGGAGAGAAGGGAAGCAGAAGACTGGGCTGGCCCCTGCCACCGCTCCCAGAGAGCATCATGACTCTGCCTGGGGGAGGTCAAGGGCTGGCTCCAGCAAGTGAGGTGGTCTCCTTGCAATCCTGCAAATACTTATCAAGCAGAGATGGAGCACTGCTGCCTGAGTGCTGGGTGGGGGGAGCTTTGAGGACTCTGTAGCCATCAAGTCACTAACAATCAATGTGCAGTAACAGCACACTGATTACATCAGAAGACAACTTATGGTTAGGTGCAGTGGGGGTCCTGACCCTATAAGTTCCCTGCAAGTTTGCTATTATCATCAGCTCAGAGTAAAACAGCTCACGACTTTTTCCATAAACCACTTTAATTGTGTGTGAATCAACTTCAGAGTCCAAGAGAACCTTGACACTTGTTCTAGACCTGCCCCCCTCCTTATTGGTCCAACCCCAAGCTTCTTCTCTAAATGGGAGGATCCATAATTCACTGAAAGCAGGGCACTAACAGGTGCAAAGCAAAGGGTCAAGGGGTGAGCTGAGGTCTTGCTCCCTGTAAACCTCTGTCCACTACTCAATGCCCTGGGGCCTCGCTGTCCTGGGACTGTCTTCTTTTCTTCCACTGTGTGTCCTAATCGTTCCAACTTTCTAACAGCCCTGCAGCCTGACAGAACACCTTTGCCTTCATCAGTGGCGTTCTTAAGGACTAACTAGATCCTTAAGGAATAGGAAGTGAAGTTCCCTACAAGTTTGCTATTATCATCAGCTCAGAGTAAAAGTTCCCTGGCACAGACTTGTGGGGAGAGATCTGCCTCACCCACCCCCCACCCACACCCCCATATTTCCCACTTGCTGGGCATTTTCAGCATGGAGCGAGTCCTCTGGGAAGCCGTGGGCTAAGTGTGCATCTTGCCAGGCAGTTTTGCTGAAGGAAGACAGAGAAGGTCACCAAGCCCACTCAACTGCTCATGCGAGGGGGCAGGGAGGAAAGCTAATAAATAAAATCTGTGGTGCAACTGCTTTAGGAAAGGGTGTGGAGGGTGGAGTGGATTGACAAGAAGTGTTGGCTGTAGGCTTTGAAGTTTTCAGGGAAAAGTGTAGCCACTTAGGGAAGCAGTTTCAGGACCTCCTACAGAGGGTTGATGTGTTGGAAAAGAGCCAGCAAGCAAGGAGTCCCTTGAGAAGTGTTTTCCGTCTCTCTTCTGGAATTGTGAAACTAGATAGGAACCTGGGGTCTGGCTTTCAAGGGTGGTCTTGAATTTTCAGCTTCATGGTGAGAACAGAGAGCTCAGAAGACTGTATTTTCCTTCAAGGAACTCTGGTGATAGCTTTCCTCCTGGTCTAACGCTTGTGTTGGTGGAATAAGCACATAAACACACAATGCCAGGTGGCTAGCACTCAATCTTAGGGAGGAGGATGAAAGTCGAGGCAAAAGGGGCTCATTCCTCTACCTCACAGCTTCCTTTTCCAAAGGAAATAGGACCTACCCACCAGCCATGCTCCAGACACCACAGAAAGCTATGGCAATGGTGTTCACGCAACTGGTAAGTATGTCCCGTCACTTGCTGATGGAGTACAACTTGGGAGAGAGCAGTGTGCTGCCCAGGCCTGCTGAGCTACAGCCTGGTTCCCGAGGCACAGGCTTCCTGACTGGTCTCTGGGTGGCAAAATAACTACTTTTCCAGTCTTCAAAGAATGCGAGTAACGTTGGCTAAGGGGAGACATTTGTGTTCCTGGGGATGCTGGGGGTCGTTGAGGCAGAGGTGGCTATAGGAGACTCCTCAAGAGAGGCACTGAGATCCAAGAATTCCAGGAGGATGTCCCAAAGACAGTAAATCAAATGTCTGAAATAAGTGGACAAGACAACTTAGAATAGGGTCTGGCTCAGTCAGGAGACCAGATCCCTTTGATGAATGTATTTCCCCGCCTCCCTTCTCAGCTATTACTGATATTCTCACTGGACTGTCAACTTCAGCGGCTTGGTGACATTTCTGTTGTGAAATACAAGTCTACTAAACTAATAAGGGCTATGGCCTAGTTAACGTAGAAGTGTACTTGAGTCTAGATTTTGGGGCAATTCCATATTGATAGAGCTGTATTAGTCATCAGTACTACTCTGAAGTGCTGTGAGAAGAAATTCATGTGATACTACCATACTAAAAATTTTCAGAGCTTCTGATTATGGATATTGCTCAGAGTGAATCACTGCTGGTTTAAAGTTATAGTGTTAGGAGTGAGAGTTAACAGAGGCTGTCTACTCTGCAGCAGGGTTAGAGCAGCGGATGGACTCAGTACTTTGCAGCATTCTAGCCCAAGTTATCAGTCCGGGACATACTGACCTTTTCTGAATTATTCTAGATGTGCTCACCCAGCCTGTCTCATTCCTTTATCAGAGTCCAAACTCAGGGAAAGACAACTCCTAATCCTTACGCTAACCACAGGTTTCCCATGAGGCCAAGAACTAAAACTGTATTATTTGGTTTGTAACTGGGTTCAGATTGTAATGAACAGGTCAGAGGCTATTGTTACATGTAGACAGTGGCTGGCAGACGCTAAAAAAACCCATGAAGCATGCCGGACAAGTCTGGGGTCAACAACAGGGCGTTTTCAGTGGCCTGTGTGGGGGCCTGCATGGAGTCCTTCCAAATGCCAACAGCGGCTGGGCCAATACCAGCTCACAGCGGGCAACCCGTCAGATGTTGGCAGGACGGGTTACTTAGTGTATGTGTGGACCTGGGCAGCATTTTTCTACCTACCTGTTGATGAGGGGTTGCTGCACTGACTCCAAGACCAGACTCCAGCTCAGCTGGCATTTGTTCACTCCAAGGATTTCCACTACGATATCTGAAGAGGAAAAAAAATCAATTTTTAGTGTTCCCACTGAAGCCACAGATTCTAGATCATCTCCTTTTAGAAACTGGGTATTTGTGGCATACCTCTGAATCACACAGCCAAAAATCCTCAGAAACAGGGAAAAGCTGAGAAAACTGTTTCAAGTTTCTAAATAAGAATGGGCTTAAAATAATAATTATGTGACCTATCACCTAACTGCAGGTACTTCTCTGATGTAACAGTGTAGACTGGAGATCAGAGTTTAGTAAGTAAATAAAAATGTCCAGAGCTAAGAAGAGTTCATTAGTGAATCCTGGTTACCAGAATGCCTTCCCTAGTCTCTAAAAAAGTACAAAGGGAAGGAAAAAATTTCTCTTTAGATTTTTATCTACTGCTAAAGACTATGTAGTTAATGATTCCACTTAACTAGCTGTAAGCTTTTGCAGGACAGATCATTCCCCTTGGTCACTGTGCATTGAACTGACAAAAAACCAAAGCCTTTATCTGCTGGAAGTGACCCAGACCTGCCCCTGTGGTGAAGGAGTAATTCCCTTGCCTGTCCTGAGATGATACTGGAAGGATTCTCACCAACTCTTTGGTGTGCTCCACTCTGCATCCCCTCAATATCACTTGGGTGAAAGCTTAAAAAAAATCCTAGCTCTGCCCATTTTTCTGTTAACCTGGTGGAGCAACATGGCTTTGGGTCTCACCACATTTAAGACCCTGCTACCAATGGGGAAGGGTCTGGGGTATTCATGGCAGAGAGGGGAGGAAGGGAATACTTATCTGTAAAGTCAACCTCATCCAGCTACCTGGCAAGATGCTCATCAAGCTCTGCAGAGCCTGTTTCTTAGCAGCCACCTTCTGCTCGTTGGTCCTTACAGATCGAGGAGACTTAGGCAAAGCTCCGCCCGGCCAGATCGATTCCCGGAGAAGTCGGAGGTACTGCACCCAGTGCTGTGGACATGTTAAATTAGCTACCTGCACCTCCAGCCACCTATGGGGCAAAGACAGAAGACTGCTCAGGTAAGCATGGAGGAGGGAGAACAAGGCGGAAACATGTGAGTAACCAGAATAACACAAAGCAGAGGTAGCCAACTCTTGCAAGTGAAACCAAGCCAATTACCAGGTGGGCTCACAGGATTTGAAGATTTAGTGATGCTGTTACTTAATGAATGTCTGCTAGGAGCCACAACATACCATCCTAGGGGTTTTCTGGCCAGAAACACTAAAGAGAACTCTGTCTTTGGTCAACGCTGCACCTTTCCAACTCTCCTCCAACAGCCTCTCAATAATGTGTACATACATAACGATGCACCTTTATATGAGCATTTGATTTCGCATAAATTCCTTGCCTTTGTCTATACCCAGCTGGTCACCAAGTCTCCATGACTTGTCCTGAGGATGCCTCTCTGCCTTCTGCTCATACTAGTCCTCTCACTGACAGGGCCTCTTCTCTCCTGAAATCTATCTTCAGATAAGACCTGTTTTAAGTTCCCAAGAAATCTTTCTAGACCTTTCCAGCTAGACCTCCTTTGGGCACTCAGTTGTATAGCACAGGTTTAGAACTAATATTTTACTTTGGAATAAGAATTATTGTATTTTTATAACTTTACTTTTCCAACTAAATCTTAAGCACAAGTATATATGACATACATGAAAAATTTCACATAGTACCTTGGTGCTGAAGAAACATTGGTTATCTAACAATTGTATTACAGTAAAAATATGACCCTTTGTCTTATTTTCAAAAATAAGTCAATTAATTCTGAGAGGCAGATATACAAATCTGCAGGGTGTTTTAACCTTATCCTTTATTTGTCCCTGCATTTTTAGAACCATGATACTAGCTGAGGTCAAGACTGCTGCGGTCTCCTTATGTCTGTGTGTATCCCAGGGGTGCAGTGCCATGCTTCCTGTACCATAGTCGAGACCAGCACGGCTACGACTACAATGAAGTACCACTTCTATTCCTCCCTGGATGACTATTTGGATCGGCAATGTAGCCCATGCTCTTGCTCCTGTACCGAGTTATTTGTCACCTACCCAAGAACAGAGGGGCTGCCAAGGCAAACTTTATTTAACCTCCACTCTACCAGACAGTCTGCATTCCACTCAAGCTAGGCATTCCAGTCTTGGGGGCTGCAACCCCCCAAGTCCAGTGCTCACAAATAATTCCAAGAATAGGAAGTCTGAAAGGTAATGGCAGGACAAGAATGGCAGACATCAATGGAGATCAAGATAGGCACAAATCTCCCTATGCCCAAAATATCACCGCCATCGTAGTTGTTATTATTAGGGAGGCCTCGCCTTTTTATAGGGCTTTTCATTCAGCGAGCCTAAGATGCCTGATGACAGGGATCCAGTAGCAAGAATTCCTGTTCTTGTTTATAGAAGAGGGTCATCAAAGGGAGGTGGTGCGATGACCCGATCAGGTTCTCTGCAGGGAATCAAGTGACCTCACTCCTCTTAACCCAGGTTCCTTCCTCAACTCATCACATGTTCTTGTATGAATTCTGCTAAGGTAAATGATATAAGCGAGGGTCTCAGCTAAACACTTTGAAGGAGAAAGGCAAGGACTTGAAAAATGGAAATATTTAAATCTTCCAAGGAGCAAGAAGAATCCTAAATAAGAAACCTTTATCTAGAATTAGGTCTACTACAGGTCCTCATTCATATATGCACATTAGTCATTCTGTTCTTAATTTTTGTCCTCTAGGGCCCAAGGTGCCCACAACTCAGCTCTTCAGCGGTACTTTAGCATCCATCCAGCCCTTGCTTGGTGAAGCATAACATACAACAACAAATCTGGGTACCTCCGTCATTTTTTGGGCACACCTTACAGCATGTGAGTCTGTTCCGAATTCCTGTGATCTCATTGGGTGAACTGGGTGCCCGAGTGGCATCATGGCAAGGCTGTTCTCTTTGTCTTCTGCTATGGCCAGTTAGTAACTCATGCACATAAGCTTGGTGCAAAACAAATCTTAGCAAAAATGCATTTATTAAGCTATATAATCAGTAAGAGTGCAGTTTATCAGATTCTAAATGGAAATGTTGGGAAAAGGATCAATGTATAAGTAAAAATAAGCCCTTGATGGTGAGGATGTGTCAATAAGTCAAAATTGTAGGAGCTAAGCAGAACTGACCAAGGCACGACTTACTGAAGAGGGCTGAAATGTCCAAGGAAAGCATCTGCTGATGCTTTAAAACAAAGACACTATCCGACACTATAAACGCCGAGACAGAATTGATCACTACAAGGCCCTAGAAGAGTCAGACCCAGGAAGTAAAAGGACTTGTGCAAACTGGTGGAAATAAACTTCATGTTTGAAGAGACAAATGTAATTTACAAAGTGACTGCCACTTGCTATGTGCTGCAGGGTTTCAGCTTGCCTTTTTCACTGAAGGTAAAAGACACAAACTACACCCACTGTACTATACAGATTTAAACATTTACTCTCTTTTCAGAATTTTCCTCTTGTCCAGACTCGTCCTACTTTCCCTTCTTTGCGAAGGAACATTTGGGATCAGCCTGCTCTCAATTCCTAGCTGCAGGCAGACTGTGGAGTAGCTAAGGGCAATATAAGGTTTTTTCATTCTCAGAGCTTCTGAGCTGTGGTGTTCCAAACTGAACTTCCCAGTCTGGAAGCAAACAACGGATAAAGCCTAAACCAAGAGAACCATCACCAGCAGAATGGTCCTGCTCCTGTCACAACACAAAGCTCTCTGGGAGGCCTAGACTCATTTTTTAGCAGGACACCCTATGATCACACACACCTTTCTTTAGTTTAATGCCCAGCTGCAGGATCTCATATAACTTGCCCTTCCTACTACAGGGACAGCCATGACCCATAACAAGGGAGAAAGGTGGAAGGGGGTCATCAGCTAGTGATCTCTCTTCCATCCACAACCGTCCTCCCCTCTTATTCTATCACACTTCTCTAAGGGTGCCGCATATATATCACCATTGCTTTATCTGAGTCCTGCTTGGGATTGTGAAACTGAGTTAGAACAGGAAAAACTGAGAGATGAGTCAATGGAACGTTCAGATGGACTGAGGCCTCATCCTGAGTGCCCTTCGTCCGCATGCTGTCTTTGTATCTTAACCTAGAGTGGGACGGTAATCCCTGTGCCAATAGCTATCCTGAGGAGATGGAATGGAATTTGTGCCTGAAGTCCAATGTCTCACAGGAGCTTTTCCAGCATTTGTTCTGGAATCCATTGGTAGTAATAGTATGATACTAACAGAAATCTAAGGTTTCAAGGTCGATACACACACACATTCGTCTGACCATTTACTATAAATTATTTATAAGAAGTCCTTTACTAAATACAAATACTATTGTTTATGTAAGCCAAGATACATGAGATAAATGTGCTAAAATAAATATGGCAAAGTAGCCTATTGGTTTTATTTTCTACGTCTATTCTAGTTTTGATATTTGATATCAGTGACATCTCCTTCTACCATCCACATTGTTTCTCAAAGAAGAGAAAAAGCTAAGCCCGGTCTATGCTGTCAAGACTATCTCTGAATGATTCAGAGGACATGGGAGTTCAGGCTTGGGGGTGCCCAGAAATAGTCACTAAAAGGAGAAAAAAGCAACAACAGGCAGACACCAAGACATTCAAGAGTTTCTCTGATGCAAGACATGGGTGGAGGGGGAGGGGTGAAGATCAGGGCTCTCCATTACACGAGCAGTGCATGTCCAGTCCATGTTCAAAGGAACCTGGTCTGAAATAGCTACAGAGAGAGGAATGAAGTACTGGCTAAAAGGAGACAGTTTAATACTAGGGCTTAGGGTGGCACTCCAACATTAGCAGAAGGTCATTTCCCATCAAATCAGAATCAAATCTCATGAGTAAGAAGAGACACTGTAGAGTCCATGTCTAAGCTAGTGAGTGATATTCCCTTCTTTCCTAAGAGAGCAGCTATGGCTGAGTGAGGAAAGACCTGAAAAAGTATGGCATGTTGAGAGTAGTCAGAGAGCAGAAAGTGAAATCACAACCTAGAAAACAGTCATCAGAGTAATTACAATATTCTAATAAAAAATGTCTAGTGTAATTTAAATGTGCACAACACTCATTCTTTGTCCCCTTTTTATCCACTGGCGTGCCTCTGCAGACAAGCCTAATCTCATTGTCACACAGAAAATACAGTTCACAGCAGTCTTCTGCCCACCTGTGACTACGCAGGTGCCCCGCTTTACCTGCTCTCTCCCTCTGCAGGGCAGCAGCCTTCCATGCCTGTGACCTGTTCCATGCCGGGATTTATCTGCCCTGACCTCCCTCAGCGAGGCCACCCTGTGACCTAAGGCTGTCCGCCTGTGACCATGCAGCAAACTTGTCCCGTTCAGGGCAGCTCTCCCTCCCACTATGCCTATGCAATATACTTCTCTGTCCCTTTTGCTAGTAAACCTGCTCTTTAAACCTTAAAAAAAAGGAAAAGAAAAAAGAGGAGCCTCCCTTGTGGTGTAATGGGTTAAGTTTCAGCTCTATGAAGCAATCTGCAGCCACTGCAGCCTGAGTTTGATCCCCAACTGGGGGCTGACCCAGATGGCGCAGCAGGCCTCTCCTATCTCATCTGCTGCTCCCCTCAGCAGTGTATTACAGTCAATTTGCCTGCTCTGTTCCCCACTCTGTCTCTGGTGAGTCCTCTTCCACCTCATCCCTCCCTCGTACCTCTGGCCTGTACCCCAGTTCTTGTATGAATAAATAAATGCATCTTAAAAAACAAAAGAGGAAAAAAAAAAGAGGGAGAGAAAAGGGAGGTCAGGTTAAAGGGCCTGCCATTCTAAATAGACTTATAGTGGATCAGAAGTGTAACTGATTTTATTGCTTTCAAACAGGGCTTTCTACCCTGCAGACGCTTCAGCCTGCCACCTCCCTGCTGTGGGGGCGCCTGCGCATCAGAGTGTGGAGCAGCAGCCTTACCCTCCTGCTCCGGCCCGCTGGTTGTGACAACAAAAATGTCTCCAGACACTGCCACATGTACTT